CCCGCCTGCGGGCTAAGTAAAATGATCCACATTAATTACGTGAAATGAAAGTGGCGAAAAAGACAAACCGGCTTATTAAGAGCTCCAATAACAATGGTCTTATATTCGTAAATCAATATCCATTAAATAATTGTTACGGGTGAAGCGTACGCAGCGCCATCTATCTCGACCTTTACGTTTACTTTGCTCTTTGAACAAATCGTCAGATATAGTGCAAATCCGCAAAATAAAAGGCGCTTATATATTAAACCAAATTTTACAGGAAAGGCATTTAAAGTTATTACTTTGTTATTTCAACGGATACGACTTTCACTTTTGCACAGTAAGCATTTATTTAAGTTGTCTACGAACTGATAACAAAAGATTCCCGTAAATCACGCTAGTTTGATTGCCACGACATTTACGCGGATTTGTATTGGCCACCAAATTACCGGAAAGGAAAGTCGTAATCCAATGCTAGTTACGCGTAATTGCACTATCCCCGACGAAATGTTTAAGAGGCAAGCAAAAAAAATGCTCATTTCATTTAATAGAAGTTTAAAAAATTCAGATCCGACCTACTACTGATGAAACTACAGGTGTCCATAATTTTTTTCAGGTCAGTCGTCAGACACTAGTTATTCTGTTCACAATGTAGTTTAAAGACTACCGAGTGATATTATAGATTTTTTTGACATGATTAAAACAGGACAGAATTTTCCGATTTCAAAGAAAGGAGGATGTTCTCAATTCGACTGTTTTTTTTTGTATGTATGTTACGCGATAACTCCGGTATTTGTGCACGGATTTTCATGATTCTTTTGTGTTGCAAAGAGGGTACCTCCAGTCTCATTAAATTTTGAAGAAAATCATCCACCTCTAAGAGTGGCTGTATACGCATGAAGATTCATTTTTATAAATAGCGCCTAAATTTTATTATAAGTAGCAATTATTTTAATGGTTGATTTTGCTATTCTCTAATTCAAGGCGTTTTTCTCTCAATATACTTTGCGTAATGAGAACAGATTTTTTTATCTCGTGTCAAGTTCCGTATAGTAACGAACTAGGGGATTAATCCTGGTTTGCGCACTTTCCAGTAACCGATTTAAAAAAAAATTTGGCAAATAGATGTAATTCCACGTACTTTTAAGGTCGGTTTTTTTAGTACTCTGTACTGAGATTATCACATAAATATTCATGGTGTTGTATTCCTTTAAATATTTCGATACCTCCAATCAACACTACGCCAACTTAATTTTTCGACATGTTCTGTTTTTATTTTGTTTCTTTATTTATTTTTTCACAAAATTCGTTTTTTTTTTTTTTGGCTTTTTTATCATATTTTGTTTTTTGTACCTGTGTTTTTTCTTCACAAAATACGGGGAGCATAATATTAGTACATAAATATGGCTGTTTACAAAAATAACAGGAAATGACCAAAAAATAAAGTTGGCGTAGTGTTCATTGGAGGTATCGATTTTCGTTTTGACAAAAAGTAAAATAAAATACAAAAAAAATGCTAGTTGCATAAAATGCTGTAAATGTAATTTACGTAGAAATCTATCAATATTGAGTACCCACGCAAACATTGTACTTATATTAAATTTGTAATACATCCGTGTGTTAATTACGTAAATAATAAGGTTTTTAATCATCCAATTGCTGACTTCCATTGTCTTTTTTTATTGATAAAATCTAAACAGGGAAGACCAGTACCCCATTCAATGTTTATAGTATGCCTCTGTCAGTATTAAGTTATAGATAACAAGTTTATTTTAGACCCCAAAATAATGCAGATAATTAAGTTCATTTTTATATCATTGTCTCTGGGTCAAGCAGACATAATTAAGTCTAAAAAATTACACATCATTGCGAGGAACTAAGTCTAACAGCTAGAAAGAGTTTTAATTAAATATTTTTAAAACCTAATATTAAGGCTACCGAAATTCAGTTGCATAATTTCAGCGTTTCTCATTTCGTCCATTTGTGAAAAATTCATAGTTGAAATTATTATTTTCTCTGAAAATCGAATTGTACTTCATTGCCAAGTATAATTTTAATTACAGATGAGTAGTAGTCACAGAGTCGAAATGATTCAATCACAGATTAAGTTTCAAAAAGCAAAGGAAAATTTTTAATCAGTCAAGATTTGTGCGACTGATTTTTTTTCTATCCTCAGCTGAATCTTCGACTATGTCTGAATCCATAGATCATCTGACACTTTGATTTGAAATAACATATCTTTCAATATAATTAGCAATTTTTGGTTTCCAATCACGCTGCCGTACTTTAAGATCACAAACTGTTACACATAATGTAATGTGTTACCTTTGATAGTTTACCAGAATCTCATTATAAATAGTTCCTTTAGACCTCTCTTTAATTTCCTTGAAGAGTAAAAAAGATAAGTAGAAAGTCGTACCATAAGCGGTGTAAATTTCTACGCCTCTACCATGAGTTTGCAGGGACAGTTGTCGCTAGCCAACTGCATAAAGCACCTATCATGGAAGAATGGCATAAGTGGAATTACGTCTTAACATGTTTATTTGCTCCATTAGATACAGAAAAATATAACCCACAACCCCTCCAATGAGAGAGAATGTGGGTTATATTTTTTTGTATCTAATTTCCAATAGGAGAAGTTCTGGGTTATATTTTTCTGTATCTAATAGAGCAATAAACATGTTTGACGTAATGCCAAACTTATGCCATTCTTCCATGAGGGGTGCATTTATTTGATAATTTCGTATGATATATTGGGCAGCGCCCCCAGCGGTCACAAAATGTAACATTTTTGTAAACAAATGTTTTACGCTATACAACTGTCAGTGTAAACGCGTGGTATAAGTAGAGCACCCTAAAATGGTGGTACTAATATTAATTTTGTCATCGATTATGATGTTGTTATAAAAAGAAATGAGCTTTTTTCTTAAAATCTGGTACGTGATGACAGTCCAAAAGGCTTTCAATAAGCTCCTGATCCAATCCATACGTAGAATATTACAGAATTTTATGCAGTACAAGTGTTGAGCGGTAACATCGTACGGACTCCAGTAAATGCGTTCGGATGCTTTGTTCTTTTCAGCCCACGACTGATATCGACTCGAGAAAGTAATAAAATGTACAAATCAATGCAAGAAAAACTCTTCAACGTCTGCGCCGCGTTCGCTCTTAGACTATACATTTACGCCTATTCGTTTTTCAGCCCGCATTTAAGCGTGTGAGAGAATCATCACAAAATAATTTTATCACAATCATTGTCTTCAAAAAACTAATGTCAGCATTGCTCGCCTAGAGCCGTATTGACGCATTATACAGGGTGATTTGTAAAATACTAACAACTTCGCAAGACTATATTACTAACATCATAAACAACAACTTGAGTTGCAGGACTTTTAATAATTCATTAGATTTTACTTACAAAAATAAAAAAATACTTAAATAGGTTGCTCTAAACGTTGATAACTCTGTGAGGTAACAAAAGAAAGCGGTAGTCGTAGGGGGGATGCATGCACGTTTGAACTCACTATCATATACAGAACTAAAAAGTGTCCGATTGTACAACAAAAACTTAAGTTTCTTTTTGGTAAATTTAATGTTTTGTAAAAAGTTTTGTTCCAAGTTGTTATTTATTATGTTTGTAATATGATCCTTCGAGAATGTCAGTATTTTAAAAATACCCCTACATAGTAGGAATATTTTTCCTCTTATATTATTAGTCCATATTATGTATCAATAATTTTGATTCAGACCAAAAAATATTGAAATCTGACATCATTGCGACGCAGTTGATGTTCAGACACGAATATGAACAATTCAATGCGTTTTAAGAACACGACCACCACCCTTAACGAAGGCCTGTAGTACAACTGGTTTAACAGAACAGCTGCATTACGACCGCTAAATATAATTCAAGTAACACCGAGCAGAGTATGAGCTTCGGTAAAATGTACCAACTAAGTTTGACCACAGAATAAATATTAGTACTATAATTTGGCGTGAAAGTGGGTCCCCAGTTGTATCCTTTTGGCGCATTGTAAATTCAGAGCATGTTGTCGTCGTGTATCATTTAACGCTCAAACAATCACGCAGTTCTTCTACTTTAAGTGTACAGATTTTATATAATACAGTGTTCTGAGAAGTGCTCCAGAATTCCGTTGCTCTGATACTCATAGTACAGACCAGTGGTGTGGTTGTCTAAAAAAAAGAATATACGTAGGTCTAAACCATAGAATACCTGGTTTTATTGCTGGGTATCTCATAGCTCTTCTCGGCGTATCGTGAATTAACCTTTACTCTATTCACCGAATCCGAAAAATTCTATAAGGCCAATTCTAATCTACGCTAACTGTCAAACGGAATGAATAAAACACCGGGGGGTGAATAATGAGAAACTAGCAAAGTTAATTTCTGACACTGAATAAATACAATAATGAAAATTTACCATTTTTTGTTTTTATAAACGTTATCGTTTATCTCTATTCACCCCGTTAGACACTATTCACTCAATCAGACAGTACTACAAAATAAAATGCCGAGAAATAACAAATATACATATATTAACAGATTTATGACAATGTACTGTTACGTATACCTAGCCAATTCAATCTATAGTTAAAAGAGTTGGACTCGTGGCTTGTTTACAGAAATGATGGATTCAAAGATATATCCGGTGGATTCAAACCTATATTCGGCAAAACATTAAAAAATTGATGCATTTGTGAAAAATAAACTTATAAAAAGAATGTCATATTTTAATTTAAAAAAATAAATAACTATTTCCATTCTGTACTAACATAGTATAATCAGACAAGTATGGTAACTCCATATAAACATAGCTGTATGATTTGTACGTCTGCGCGCCCAGCGCGCACCGTGTATGGTCGCACCCATTCGCAGATTTTTTTGAGACCAAGTGACGGGACGAACAAGTGGCCCACCTGGTGGTAAGTGACACGCCTATCCATAACAGTTGCAGTAGCACTCAGTGTGAAATCACAAAGATCTGAGGGGCACTGCCTCTGCGCGCGTCACCCTGAGACAAAAGTAGACAAGTCTCAGGTGCCATTTCACCAGCACCCTTACCTTCATAACTGGAACGCAGTAATGCTCACATTACTGCTTGACAGCAGAAATAGGTATACAATGAAATGCGCGTGTGACGACTAGTGCTGAGCAATCGCGAAATTATGCGAATGGGTGCGGCCGTTCACAGCGCGTAGCGGGCGCGCACACGTATAAGTCATGCTGCTCCGTTTGTATGAAGTTACCGTACTTGTCTAATTATATTATGATACTGATCTTCACTAAATAAAGTTTACTACCCTCATTACATAGAAAAACATCACATTCACATATTATTCAGATAAAGCGTCAGAACTTATTTTCAAAATAATATTCCTTTTATTGTAGCCGCTGATTAAAACATCATAATATACAGAGATGGGCAATGGGTTAAAACCAAATCAACTCGCCTATTTTCGCCCATAAGGTTTTAACCCATTTCTGCCAAAACCCGTGGGCGGATACATTATACTATTAATTTGTTATAATTCCATACTTATTAGAAATTTCGATGTAAAAAATGTTTTTTAGACGAAACTAGCAACTCCACACAATACCCCTTGTTATACCACCTTGCCATCCTCTGGAGTCTTACTTACTAGTAGGGATGCACATTACGTTTCGATTTTTATGAAAAACGATTTAACGGTACAATAACGAATTTCTGTATAGATTTTAATCCTATTTTCAAGCGAATTGATTCAAAAGAAAGGTGAAATAGGTGACAAAGCAATAAACATTTTATATTGATATCATTACATTTGTACAAAACTCGATTGACAAATATTTCGTTTGTAAATAGTTTTTGTCCTCGATTTCGGGATAATGGGTTTTAACCCGAATAAAATCCGGCGTTAACAAAGCGCAGGGTTAAAACCCTGGCCCTTGCCCATCTCTGATAATATTTCACATTATAATAACGTTTGTGTTGTGTACCTATAATTGGCTGTTCTGTATGCTTTGTGAAAGTTGTTTTTATTTACATTATTTATTCGATTGTCGATTTGATTACACGTCATCGTTTTTGCTAAAATTTATATTCATAATCGATATATCATTATTATAATTATTATTATTTTACTTATGTATACTTTTAAACAAAGTGACTTTTCATTAGTATTGCACAAGCATATTAGACTATAGCTTAATACGCCCTTCTTAGGGAATATATGCATAGCAGTAAAATACATACAATGGGTTACGGCGAGTTATACGTGCCGCCAAAATTCTTGGTTGAGAATTGTAGCTTACGCCATTAACACTGCGTTGAAAATTGCAATTTCATCGTGACACTTCGAGTGTCTTAATGTACGTAGATAATTTGGCGTGTCTCTATATGTATTGGTCAGAAAAACAAAGTTCATAAGACTCGCTAAGAACGATAGATAGTAAAGAAAAACAAAATGTTAAGTCGTAAAAACAAAACAATTATTCACGAGTCCAATTCTCAATCTGTTTAAATCACAAAGAGATCGCATTTCGAGGTCAGACCGCGATAAGTATATTCGTCTCTCTCACACGCACGCCGCGGCGGTATGGTGAATCAGTTCGTGACCGTAGCCTGCTTTTGCCGTCGGTGATCATAGTTGACGAGTCGTTGCCCCACGAGGTATTTGTCGTTCTTTATGTGCTCGTACAGCTTACGGAATTGTCGGATCTGAAACAAGATACAAATAATTGGTATTTCTACACAGACCTACATTGGTGAAATTCGACGACCTTCGTGGTCGAGTACTTTGCACATCGATTTTCATGGTGTCGCCATCTCTGATGTCCTGGGTTGGATCCTCAGACGGGTCAATGAAGAAGCTCATTTTCTATATTATCTCAGTTCTGGGTGTTTGTGGAGCCGTCGTTGATTCCGATTTCCATAACACAAGAGCTTTAGTTACTTACTTTGGGATCAGACCATGTACTCTCGTTTTCCGTCCGATATCTGTCCGTATCAATTACTGCCACATAGGTAATACTCGACCACATTAAGATAATGTCCGGTATGAAGCTTCATTCGCATCATGAGCAGGGATCGGAATAGGTAGAGTTTTTTACCTAGACTTCCGAAGAACATAAGACAGAAAATGGAGACTGCCTTACGACAATATTTTAGGTCCTGGACATTTTCGGGATTCGGGAAATCACTTAAGAAAGTTAAAAATTTACGTAATTGGGGACAGGCAGGTACACTATATTTATCTTAACTTTGCGACGCAGTCGGTCGAATCTCTCTAAAAAAATGCCAACCGGGAGATCCTATAGTTCAAATTAAATATTGTCATATCACATTTTGCCATAAATCTAATAGTTTAGTAGGAAAAAATTAAATGTGTATTTTTTGCATGGAACCGTACCTTCAGTGCCACATCGTTAGTCTTAGTCGATCCAGTCTTAGAATCACTACAGACGTATTATTAGACCTATCTTCTATATACATACAAAAAAATACACATTTTATTTTTTTTCCTACAAAACTATTATATGTATGGCAAAATGTGATATGACAATATTTAATTAGGACAATAGGATCTCTCGATTGGCATTTTTTTATAAAGAGATATCGTGAAAAAAAATCCAATGTCGTCAATATCGCTGATCCGACCCACTGTGTTGCAAAGTTAAGATAAATATAGTGTACCTGCCTGTCCCCAATTACGTCAATTTTTAATATTATTCGGACTGAAACGGTCCGAACCCTGAGAAACGGTCGCGAGATAACACGTCCACGGCTTTTCCAGATGACCGAATGCGTCACATTGTGCACAAACTATTTGTTTGAAGATTAAATTGTATTCACGTGACTAACTTGGAAGACGGCAAGCGCAGTCAAGACGGTGATGAGTAGCAGAGCGGGATAGACGCGCCTAGCGAGCAGATTGCGCTGCGCGTGGGACGCCACCAGCAGCGGCGCCACCGAATGTGCTAGCGCGTATGGCACCGCCAGCGCCAGCCCCAGCCAGCACACGATGGGGGCTGCCACTTCGGTGAGGATGAACCTGCATCAGAAAAGTAAGTTGTACTACTATGCATAAGTGGCCAGCATTCTCCAAGTCGTCGTCCCGGTTAGGCATACAGACACTAGTTCGAATACAGAGGATGAAAGTACTGAATTCGACTGTATTTTACACACAAATGTTTTGCAACTATTCCTAAAATTATGAACTGATATTCTTTTTTTTTATAGAAAGGTTGGAATCCGGTTTATGGAATTTCATCCAGTTTCCGTTAAGTGATTTCAATGAAACTTGGCTAACAGAATTCCACAAACTTTTGAGATCGGTTTTTTTTATTAAAAAAGTTATAGTTATGTTTGTATCTGTTCGGTCTTTGTGTCAATAATAATAATAAACCAGTGAAGTATTTTTACACAAATATATGACTATCAAGGTAGTTCACAATATTCGTTACAAATAAATATTGCGAACTTCCCCAAATCAACCACCACCCCATATCCCGGGGAGGGTAAAATCAATAGATAAAACCTTTTACCGGCTTGTTTTATCTTGCAAAATCACGCGTTCTATTTTGCTAACAGTTTTAAGCAATCTCAAAAGTACTTATAAATTGAATTGTGATGAACGCGTACAAATATTTAAGTTGAAGATAGCATTCTAATTGGTATTTTAATAATATAGGGGATAACGAATTAAGATTGTACCTTTTTTATTTGTTTATAAAATTACACGGTTTTAAAATGTTTCAACAATAAGTATTGATTTTTGGAACGAGAATTAGAACCATAAAAATATACGTACTTGAGGTCCATTTCGCGTATTCCGTCACGGTAAGCCTTCTCGATGGCTCGTCGCATGCGCCAATCGGGGCCCATCATAGTAAGCGCGCAAACGATCTTAGTGTAGAGCACGCCTAACGCCCAGTCCTGCCACACGAACAGCACCGGTGACTGCTCCAATGGGACCCTCAATGGGATTACCAGTACCTGGCAAGGAAAAAAACAGGTCGAATGAATGACCAGATTAAAAAACGTCACTGTACACTACACAATAAGACTTTTGATGATACAGAAGGCTTGCTAAAAGTTATTTCATAATTATATCTCAATAACTATTCATTTATAAATTATAGTGGTTTTTTTAATGGGACAATATGGGGAAATCCAACGACTCAGGGTTTCTCTAGTGCGGGGCTATGTTGATTGCGAGCGTTATTATTATTATTATTATTATTATTATTATACAAGATACAAGGAAACTGTCTTAGGAACCATTCAGTCTTTATTGTGAAAACAATTTTGGCATGGTCAATTTTTCGGTTAAGCGTGAGTTGTCCATAAAAATGAATGAAATTGATCAATTTTTTTTATTGAAAGAAAAGAAAGAAGAAAGAAAATACATTTCTTTGTTTACCGCAATGACACCCCAAAAGACATTTAAAGACAATATTGCTCAAAAGACATTATTGCTGATCGCCTCAGTTTCATGAAGGGATCATTTCATTGTATGGGACGAAAGAAATCGGGACCGGCACATACAACGCGCGTGCAGTATGCGAGCAGCGCACATGCAGCGCATTCACGGCGCATTGGCCAGATCTGTATGCACCGTAAAACTAGTGACACTACAGGCACATCAGATTTATCAACTTTATGATTCAGAATAGCACAGTAGCAGTGCACTCTTAGGTGTTTGTAATTTGACCCTCTCCCGTAGCATGGCTACGCATGATAATCGCGACGCGCGCGATAAAGTTGTAATAAGGGCGCGCTATTGGCTGTCTCAATCAGATCTAATTTCACTCACCTATTTCTACCGCCAAGCAGTAATGCTCACATTTTGAAGGGTAATGCGTGAAATTACAGGGACATGGGACTTGTCAACTTATGTCTCAGGAGCACGATATATTTAAGATTTAAATGTCAGTTTTATGCACCTTATGATAAGACAGCTCAAATTCTGAATTGTAAACCCCAACGTGATGTTAACTACACCATTATTCTAGCCAGATGATTGAACAGAAGAGATTTTGAATGACTTTGATTGTTTTGAAAGGGGCTCTTTTTCTAAGTATTATAACCCTTTTCGATTCATCAATACAAACATGTGTCAGTCACTGATGTCCAAGAATTACTAGTAACAATACCAATTTTCAATTTGTACATTGAAAAAGCATTGGGGTTTAAAGCACTGAGTGATATTATCTGTTGTGTGCGGTGACTTGATATGACAAAAAGGAGCTCACCAGCTCGAGCAGCAGGCCGAACATGAGGGGCACGAGGCCGAGCAGCGCGGCGGCGGCCAGTGCGGCGCGGGCGGCCACACGGGCCCACATCGCCAGCCGAGTCAGCAGCGCCCCGCGCCCCCCGCGCGCCCAGCTGGCCGCCAGCGTGCCGCCGCGACCTAGCGCCCAGCACACGTACATGCCTGCAGGCACAGAACAATGAGTCGTATATGAGTCGTAACTCTAAATTCGACCCCTCCTACGAAAAGTATCGTATGTCGAAATTGCCAAGTTTACAGGGGAGCGTTCTGAATTCACTGTGATAAGCAAAACACGTGAATTTAGGTATTTCTCAGATTTATTCGAGAACGAGTTTTAAAGTAACGAGGTTTGCCATGTTCAAGTCATGTCAACTCAATTCCAGAATTTTGTGTTAAGTATTAGGGGTTAAAGTATGAAATTGCCGTTTTATTGCAATAAGTTCT